GTCATGTAGAGGTGTGGTAAAGGGTCGAATCACACGGATTATAAATTTTGTTCGAAAATTTCCCGCTGACGGCGATTCATCTAAAATTCGATTAAGAAAGGAAAAAATCGAAACCAGCTGGGACGAATTTCAAGATATAAAATACGTCATAGAACGACTGACCGAAGAACCTGTATCTGAAGAAAAGTATAGGACCAAGTTCGAGGACTTATATTATAAAGTGATGGCAAAATGCGATTAAATTTTGATGGAGGCCATTAACAAAGAAACCTAAAACTCTGATTATTATAAAATACCGAAAAGTTCAACAAACAGTTATCAAGTATCGGTGGTAAAATTGGTAGCGCTGAATGAATTGAGTTCAATAGTAATTACAAGGAGTGGGAAACGTTCAAGGATGTATTCGGTACCTTGATCCAATCAAACGAAGCTCTGACCAAGGTCCAGAAGTTGATCTATTTAAAAGCGGCACTGTCGGGAGACGCCGTGGAAGTCGTAAAATATCTTGAAACTATTGCAAACAATTACGAATTCGCGTGGGATTATTTGAACCAACGATACGACAGCAAACGAATAATAGTACAAGGCGATTTTCAAATTAGAGAGAGTCATGGAAGAATCATCGACGAAATTGCAACGATTTATATACATTCTGTTAGGGCATATAAAGACGTTGGAAGTGATTGAGTATAACCCTTTGTCTTGGGGCTTGATGTTATTACATATTATTTCAACGAAATTTGATAATGCTACATTATGAGAGTGGGAAACTCAAGCCCCGAAAACAGAAGTCCCCGAAGTTGACGAATTAATAATATTTTAAAACACATATTTCAAATTTTGGAATCAATCGAAAACGCGCAAAAGTTGGATAAGTCCGAACAGGAGTGAATACAGACACCGGTGGAAAGGGTGACAAGAGACAGATTTTAAGAAAAAATTAAAACGTTATTCATTCAGACTACGGTAGAAATTAAATGTAATTTTTGCGAAGAACCTCATACTATCTTTAAGTGCAACAAATGTCTAACATTAACCGTTAAATAACGACGAGAAGTCGTTGCGAACTTAAAACTATGTAATAATTGTTTATCTAAACACAAGGAAAATAAAGGCTACAAGGCGAAAGGCTGCTGAAAGTGTGGAGAAAAGCACAAGTCGTTGATGCTCGAGAACCTCATTGTTAAAAACGCGAAGTTATTACATTCAACATCGATGAGCGCGTTTGCAACTAACCGGGTTTTAAGGTTTTATTATCTACGACAACAGTAAAAATTGTTGTTAAATCGAACGAGTCAGTGTTAGCGCGAGCGTTACAGAATTCCGCGTCTCAAGGTAACTTTATCACTCACAATTTGGCAAATAAATTACGACTAGCGAGAAGTGAGTTTAACTGTACAATTTCGGGAATGAATTCGGCCGAGTGTCAAGCGTGTCACGTAATCACCGCGACAGTGCAATCGCGTTTGGACGGGTACAATCGATCCATCGAGCTTATGATGTTGCCCACAGTTACATCAAAATTACCGACGATACAGATTCGCGGAGACAGCTCGTGTTCGATACCGAAACATATCACGTTGGTCGACCCTACTTAAGTAACTTAAGTATTCTAAGATATGTTTGGATTTACAATAATTTAATTAGACTCATTAGTGATGTATAAAATATGATAACGGACGAACAAAAATAAACGTCTGTTCATGTTGAACGATCGCTAATAACGGTAATTTATCATTTATTCGAAACGATAATAATTTTTACTATTTATTTTCACAAGTTTTTTCAAATTTTTTACAATTGTTTAAGTATTATAATCCATAATTGAATCAGTTATTTTCTATTATTTTTATTATTTTGTTCATTATTTAATGTTAACAAAGAGATCAGAGAATTGGCAGGAGTTCTAAGAGTAACCTTTGTGAAAGCACAAGAATCAAATGGTTTGGGTATGTGATGAGGAGGTCAGACTCAGAGTATCTTAAAGCAGTGGTAGAGTAAAACCCTACTCAGAAGAGACCAAGAAGACGTCCAAAGAAGCGATGGATAGATGGAATAAAGCAGGATTTAGAGTAATTAGGGATATCAAATTGGGAAGAAAAAGTACAAAATCAGGAAGAGTGGAAGGAGGTCAGTGGCGGTAAAAACTCTGGAGTTGTGATGCCAGTGACAGAGATGTAATGTTTAATTTGAGAAATTCAGCGGTATTATAAGATATTCAAAGATACTAACTTGATTCACAATTGTTGAATTTGGAAAGTCACTACTCAGTAGGTCCGTGTCTTCGTGGACACGTACTGAGGAACGATTTTTGAACCAGCGCACACTAGACATTATTCGCTTCTTAAGTCTCCTGAACCACGAATTCGTTGATTTTAAATTGCTCTGTGTTAAAATAAATGTTATGTTGATTACGTTCAAATGATATTTATTTTTCGAAAATTTAAATTGAAAACAAATGTACAGGAACTTACGATTTCACTTTTCGACTCGATTACGTTCTGTTCAACATTGAATGTTCTCCTCAATTTAGAATAAATGATACCCATTTTAGCAACTATACTTGTTACTTTGTAGTTTAATTTAGAAATTCAAAAAAATGTTCGAGATCTTTTAACAAGTTATTAAAATGTATAGACCGGTGAAAAAATTCTTGAAAAATTGTACAACTAATAACTGTAAGCTTTTATATAAACATTTAATGTTGTCTAGTAAAAATATGATTTGTTTTCAAAATTGTAATGTATTATTTCTATGGAGATGTTTTATATTGCCTAAAACACGTAAAGACATGTATTTATAATTGCTATTATTATGTTACAAATTATAGTATACTCTAATTCTGTTATACATTTATTTTACTATAATAAAGGGATGAAAAATCCATGGCACGCGAAATAATTAAATATTTTTTAAATAAATTTTAATTTTTAATCATAAATAGTACGGTCACAATAAACCACTTTAAATAAAGAGATTGCCTGTTTTTTCAATTTTTCTGTAACAAACGAGTATATTCACGAATCACTCTTTTCGTAAATTAGTTTTAATATATCTGAATTATGATTCTGACCAACGCGTATGAATGCATTGTACTGAATTAAAAATTACAATTACAAAACTGAATATAAATTAATTAGCATCAATGTACAACAATTATAATTATACCTGTCAAGCAAATCAATAAATACTTAAGTAATGTTATTTGTATAAATTCAATTACCATTTTTAATTCTAAATATATACAATAAATATATTTAAATTAAAAAATAATTTTTATACATAAATAATATTTTTCTTAATTTAATATTTTGCAGGAAGAAAAAAAAATCAGGTAATTTTTGGTACCTTACATTTGGATAATTTCCCGCCTCTTCTCTAGTATGTAATCATCAATCTTAATAAACTTGATATATATTCAGGATATATTCTTTCTGAATTCATATATATTATATAGCTTATGAGGTTATTCATTAATTTATATTTCTTGAAAATAATTTCGGAATATTTTTTTTAGCAATTTATATATCATTGTTTATATTTTAAAATAATCGTATTATGTTTAATCCGTTTATTGTTACTATACACCGTTTTGGCAGACAGAAATCAATAAGGTTTTTGTAATAATACGGTGTTATTCTCATATGTAAATATTCAATCATATAAATATGGTATATTGGTGCACTAATACAATGTACAATTTTTACGACCAAGTAGATTTAGCGTCAATATTGTTTTTAGCCGTCAATATAAAATAATATAACATAGTGCTTAAGACAAAAGTATAACATTTTTTAGTACAAACATTGCATTACCAATGCATTCTTTAATTTGTTTATTTGTGTATTATATATTTACAACGTGTCTCCTATGGGTGTGGTAATTGCAATATCTTAAATTTCACACGACACTAAATATATTTAAATTAAGAATTAGTTTCATTGATCTAAGAACTCGAAAATTAATTAAATATTTCGGTTGAAAGTGTTAATTGTTCTAATTTTGATCTTCCAATAGGAGATATTATAGAATTCCGTTCGGAAAAACGTAATTTTATTGAATAACATAAGATTTTAAACGAGAGTGAACTGGAAACATATTAATATCGATTGGACAATATTAATCTAAGATATTATTTTAAGGATATTTTATATTATATTCGCGAGTACATTGTAAAAGGTATACTGCTTAAGATTTTTTATTTAGATTGTATTAATTTACTAATTAAAAACAATTTTGATTATGTTTATAGCAATTCAAATTTTACAACATCTGTAAGTAGAGAAAAATTAATCAACATCTAATGCCGTTTTATTAATTATACTGCGACTAGAAAAATTATTTCAACTTATAATTGTAAAAGAGCAAAAACTTCATAATAATTCAAAATTACTAATAGTTCAGAGCGCTCAAATAAGTATTTTGGGTAAATGTAATAGTTTTTAACTCCCTAATTCTCCTTCTACTAATGGAAATATTGAATCACATTCTCATGATTATAATGATATTATGAAGGATATATTCTTGGTGGATACTTTTGAAATTAATTTCTGTACATATCGGTGATATCGTGATCTAGTCATAGGCACAACTAGGGAGGCGCAATAGGGTTTTTAGCACTCCTGTTTTTTTTCAGATCTATATAATCTATAGTAATTATATTTAAATACCATTATATTTCATTTTCAGCAATTTCAGCACCCCCGATGTTTGTGCTCTATTGTGCCTATGCATCTACCTCTGTCTGGGTATTATAAAATAGCGTCATGAGAGTAAAATAATTGGTCTAGTCTACCTCACATGTAATTGTAATTTCTAATTAGGTTTATTTATGTTTAGAATGTTCCAAAGTAATATTTTGTAGTGACGGAAAATCCTTTTACACATTGCTTGTTATATAGTATAATCTGTACATTTATCCGGATATTATAATTTTTTTTTTTTTATAAATAAAATAGATCATATGTTTATCAATATTGTTATATTTTATTATTTACTTCTATTATATTTGATTTTGAATTTTGAAATAAATATTTAACGTTTTGATGTTTTTTCTTTATAGACTTCAATAATTCTCAATCAACTTCATTCAACTATTGAATCACATCTGTGGAATATAAAAAATATAATAGAAAATTAATAGTAAATACAATAATATAACTATTATATAATATTATTTCTAATATATATTTCTAGTATGTAATTAAGAATTATTATTTGCAGTGCTTATTTAATTAATGACAAAACATAATCTTGAATAATTAAAATTAATAATTTGATATAATCTTTTAAGTATAAATTAAATAAAGGAATTCATTCATTAAATAAATTGAATACTTAGTGTTTAACCACTTAAAAATGATTCTTTAATATAATGATAGATAGTCAATATTTTTAATATTACTCACTGGCATGTACTATAATTGAATTTGGATCCTGTTGTGCATTCCTTTTCTTCGATACATTGACATGAACAAATTTCAGAGTTCCACATTTTTGTATCTGATTCTTCGTCACATTTGTTTTGGTCTTCTAGATTATTACAAAGACATCGACATTCTCTGGCATCATAAACTTGTGTGTCTTTACAATCCTATACAAAAAGAGAGGATTAAATTTGTGTGAACCATCACTTTTTCATAAATAATTAACATACTTTTTCTTTAACAATACAATTACATTTACACTTCACGTGCTGCTCTACACTGATAATCTTTTTTTCTTTAAAAGTTAATGTTTCATTGTATTGAAGAATAGTAACCTATGGATGATACACCCAGAGTTCATATATTATTTGAAATAAAAAATAAAATAAATATAATATAAAGTTAAAACCTTTGGTTTATATTAACTTACTTCAAAATTGAGTATTTCTATTTCAGTTGGCTGACAGGAAACTAAATTGTTACCACAACAACCACCACATCGTCTTACTCGTGTACAAGGTGGCGAATAATATAGATTTGGATTATCATCGTCCCTTAAGCTAATTGTTTGATTTTCAGTAGTACAAGATGCAGGTTTTGGAACAAGTATTTCATCTGAGGGTAAATAGGTACATAAGAAGTGATAAAAAAAAGACATGGGGTCATGTTAATGATTCATTTTCTGCCATAGTTATTTTTATTTGTTTTATTTTTTGACTTATATCATTACAACCTAAATAAATTATTTAATGCTTATTACGGTGAAATTAATTTTGGCTAAAAATAAAAATGAAAAAAAAAATACTGAACCGTTTTCGGCCAATATGAACCTTTCTCTTATCGGCCAGTACATTATTTTTGTCACCAATTTAAAATATTGTTCAGATTTTTTTTTTTTTTTTTTTGTTATATAACATTATTAATTAAAGAAATTATAAATACCTAGTTAGTAGTTATTATATTTATCGAAAGTCAACGTATTGTTGATTTTCCACAACATAATTAGTTTTTATTCTTAATATAGAGGAGATATTACTAGAATGAAATTCAAGTGTGGCATGTGTTGCAATTACTAAAAAAATGAAATGTTTTTATAATTTTTTTTTTTTTGTATAAATTGGTAATAAAATGTAACTTAAATTAATAAAGGATTTTTAGATAAACTGTAAATTTTAAATTAATAATAATATATGATTATTACATAAATCGGTAGTTTAACAGAAAAATAATACTTAGAATATTTTAAATTGGTGACCACAATAGTATTCTGACTGAAAACGAACATTCCAGACTTGCCGAAAAGTGATCTGACCGAAATAGGAAATGTTCATTTTGACCAAAAAGTGTTCCGCCTAAAAATACCCTTTGGTCAGAGATTATCAATGATGCACGAAAGAATTAAAAATCAATATAGCTTATTATGGTTTATTTTATTAACACCACTTTTTTAAATAATATACATGTACTATTATTTGTCTTGGCAGTATTGGCCCTATGGTGGAGGGGTTGGTGAGCAATGGAGTCGCACCGGGCCTCAAATATATTCAGGGAATTGCATACTATAAATCACTAATAGCACTTAGGTTAGATTAAAATTCTGCACCGAACCCTAAAATCCATCGAGTCGGCACAGTATCTAAAGAACATATTGTATCAAATTTCTTACTTTGTTCATTATTTGCTATTTCATATTTTAAAACTTCGGACATATTGACGTGTGGCATAAACTTCAAAAATAGTTCTGGAACACTTGTGACCTGATTTAATTTCATTATAATATCCAATGGAATCTAAAACAACGTAAAATAATTATTCATATGTTTGTATTAGGTGAAAATAATAGTAAGTTTAAATTATAGATACAAATTATACGAAATTATTTTGAAGTTTCTGAACGAAGAAAAAAAGTTTGTTTTAACATAATTAAAAATAGAAATAACTGTGTAATTATTTCATTAACTTATATAAAAAATACATAGATCTTAGTATAGTTTCATTATGTTAGAATTTAAACTTTATACAATAAAAATAAATTTAATCAAATCAACTTTTTTCAATTTATTTTGTACAATATTTAAATATCTAATGTTGAAAAATAAAGTTTATACAAACAGTTTGTATCAGTTTAAAATTTTAAACATTTAACATCTTACCTACTGTGTGTTCCATTTCATTTTTATATATAATAAAAAATAATTACCTCTCGGTTATTTTCAATTTGACGAACTTTAGATTTTATATCACGCTCACAACAAGATCGTTTTAGTTCCTGTGTTTTAATATGATGGAAATTTTCGACTGCAGGAATATTTAATTCATTATTTCTGTTGAACATTGCGGCGATGGTGGTTACTAATAATAGCCAATAAAATATTAAAGTACTACACATGATGAATCGTGTTATTATAGTTATCACAGCGTCAATAACATTATACAGCACTTATAAAGTTGTATTCATGACTGAAGCTAGAAATAATAAAACAATTGTTGTATATTCGGATATTATCAGTGTATTCGTAATACGTATATTTTGTAAGGCTTAATGTAGTTTAACTTTGGTATAAAATGATTAGTCATTAAATTTATAAAATTACTAATTTATGTAATATCTATATAGGTACTTTATTATTTTATCGCATAGTATTATTATGATTTACACTATCTGAAGTGACTAAATAATATAAGTAGATTTATAAGTAGTTTTTTATAAAAACAAATTGTATTATTAATAAACTGAAAAATATCAAGATAATATATGTATAAATTGTAAATACTATTAGAATATTAGAATAGATACATTTAAAATTAAAAATCAATTGTTTATATGAATATAACTCATTTTAAATATCCACGATTCACATCTATATAAAAAATGAAATGTACGCCTACTTAATTATACGATTAATCAGAAATTATTTAACATCAATGAATCTGATCACCTAAAAAAATTGCTATCATTATACATACATTTTTTTAATGATTTTACAATAGAATATTATAATTTTTCGTTAAATATTTGTATAAACTCTAATAATACTCAAAGTTTAGGTAAAGTTTCATATAAGTATACACTAGAAATACATGAATATAATGGAGTTAAATAATTAAATATTTAAAATTAACTGAAAACAAAACAATTTCTTGGTTAGAACATTAAAATTATTTTCCCGAAATGTTTGATCCTTTATTAAAATATTCGGATGGTGCCATAACTGTCACTGTGATAAATGTTTTAAGTTTTATTATACATGTTGTGTGTTTTACGGCGCTGGTATGTACAATTTTCCAAATTCTGTAGTTTTGTAGTTCTTCTTGTAGTACGTTCTTCGTTACATTTATTACGATAATTTTCATTGTGACGATACTCATAACAATAGAACATTTGCAGAGGTTGATATTTCTATCAGATAATATTTACATGTACACATATGTATATGTAAAAGCAAGGCATGTAAAGCCTACGTTTTGGATTTTAGACTTCTTTTTTAAATGCGGGACATTATAAACCATAAATATAATATATTTACTATGTTTATATAAGCGGCAACAACAGGAGTTGGGGTTAAGGACCATAGGCGTTTTTAAGATTTTTTATTGGGGGTATATGAACTTTTATTAAAATGTGAGCCTGGAAGCCAAGTCCCTCACACCCTTTTTTATAAGAAAACAGCATACATTAAATGAAAATTAAAAATATTATATTATTAGGTAATTAAAATATTAAATTTACAAAATAATATCCGAGTTTTCTTGATTTTTGAGCCATCATAATAAGAATTTTGGGATTTCTCTATGGACGGCGAATAATATTAAGTCGTTAAGAAAATTCTATGAATGACATCAAATTATGAAAAATATGAAGTTATAATATTAATTTTTTAATTTTCGAAAAAAAATGTAGTATGCTTGAATTACTTAGTTTTATTTTGATCGAAAATAAAAATACAAGTAAGTCGTCAGTCGTAACTTGTCTATATGTTACGGGTAGAGTAAGAAAATCGGGTAATCTACACATCATCCGGGTAATGTGAACATTACCCATGCCCATTCGATAAAATAAACATATTTGTAAAACATTTATTTTGTAGGTATATCAACCGGGTAATTTTTACATTATCTATATTTGAGTGGATAAAGTGTTTTCATAAAATAAAATACGACAAATATAAACTGTAGATAATATTAATAAAATACGATAAAATATAAATTGTACCTACATGATGATAAATCGTGTGCATTGATATTGTATAATAATTTTAAACTACATACGGTGCTTTTGGTTTTCAAGTTCACTTGTTCGGTTTATTAATGTTTGATCATTTAGTTTTTCAAAAAAAAAACCTTGTTGTCATAAAAATAGAAATTATATGAAAATTATAATAAATAAATTAATGAAAAGAATGGAAATTCGGTAAATTTAAAGGAATCAAAATATTATAACATATTATCTGAAATAAGTAACATGAATAAAAACAAATAAATCATAATGAAACTTTTATAAATATTTTATAAGTCTCGGTTACAAAAAAATCTTTTTGTGAAATAGCTAATGCACTATTTTTTCCGATGGTCAAAGTTTTAAAAAATGTTTGTTTGAAAATAATTATTTAACAAATAAATGTACGATTAAATGTAAATCTGGAGAGATATTTTGCAACTCAAAATGCCTCAAATTGTTCCAATAAATAACTTTATTCAATTTTTTAACATTTTTTATTATAAAATAATAACTTAATAATACATAGTTTAGGTACTTAATAATTTTTTTTTCGAATTAAACTTATAGCACACTGGATAATGTACACATTATACTATCCATATGAATAAGGTGTACTTTACCCGGGTATTGTGTAAACTACCCATTTTTGAACTTTACCCGTAACATATACACAATACAAATCACTAAAAACAATTAAAAACTAAAAAAAAAAACATAATATCACTTGTAAAATCTATGTTTTCGTGAGACTAATTTATTGTTTACATTTTACATCAATATAATATTAAATTACAGATATTAATCTGTAACCGCAGTCTGTAATCTATTTTTTGTATATCAATTGCATATTCGCATGGAAAATGATATGGAATCAAAAAAATATTTATTTACTTAATTTTCATCAAATGATATTAAATATCGCTTATCACTAATCACTTGTAATTTGGTTACATTGTTACACACTATACCGGTGAGGGGAAAGGATAGAGGTAATTTCAAAAAGATAAAAATTAAAAATATATGTAAAATAATACATGTTATGATTTATTAGATTATAATTAAATGTAAGTAATAATTAGTTTGATTTATCATAATGAGACATTTTTTTAACTATACCAAACAAATTATGCAATTAGTGATTTTAGACATAATTATTATATTGTTAATAATACTTATTATTTTCAAAATTTTTATTTGTTTGTATTGATGTATTGAGTTTTATTCGGGTCACATAAAAACACTCGGTTGGCTATATATTTAGTCTGACTGATATAGTATCTAAATTATATAACTATATTAAATTTAAATAGTTACAATAAAAACAGATTCCTAATATAAACTAAGTTATACATCAAGATCAGTTAGGTATATGAATTAATTGACGACTGACGAGTCGGTTAAAAGTGATACGAATTTGAAGCCTTAATCTAATTTTTTGTTTGGTATACTAGAATTTAAATGATCAACAACTGTATCAAATAAATTAAATAGATAATGTTCAATTTAAAGTGTAAAAATACATTATTTTTGAGTTTCAACCTCAATAATTTATTAATATTATCAAAACAATAAGTGATTTATTTTATTTAGGAAAAATATTTAACTATGAAAATTTTGCATACATGATTACTTAAAAATAATACCTATATTAAATTGATAATGAGAAAAGAAATGACTATAATAAGTTACTTTTATAAAATAATTACCTTATTATGTAGAATACACTTAATCAAACGGTTGAATCAAATTGAAATGTATAATACCTCATATAATATGATAACCATATATATACAGTTATAATTTGGGATAAAAAAACGATTTCTCATAATTAGTTATAGTTTTCTACGAATGATTGTTTAAATAAATTGTATTTTATTCTATTCTATTTAATTTATTTTATTTTAAATGTAGTAAATATATTAGTTATTATATAATAATAATATTCAAAAATATTATTTAAAAATTATAATTAAAATGAAATTTTTTGGAAATAACTTTGGTAGAATAACCTTCCAAAATATTTCTCAGTACTTCAACTAACGATGCTATTTAAATTTGAGAAAAAACTAATAAGTATTTTGTACCTATCTTTTCTATTAAATTTTATAATTAGATCCTAGAAAGAATTATATATAATAGATATTACAGTCTCGCTGTACAGCAATGATCTTTACACCAATTAAAAAATGTAAAATTAATTTGTATAAATTAAAACTAAGTTAAGTGTTGTTCAAACAGGATAACAATATTTCAACATTTAACATGTACTTTTTTAATTATTTTAAATAAAACATTTTCAAATTTTGATTGAACAAAATATACATAATAGTCACTTTATACATAATCATAGGAATACTGATAACTAAATATCAATATTAATAAATAAAAAAAAAAAAACAATTTTTGACAATAATCAAAATAGTTACACATATCTAGATAAATAAAAATAAATAAATACATCTATAACAGAAAAAATTAGAATTCTATTATGTAAATAATTATTTTTATTTTTTGATGGTTTATCTTTCAGCTGGTTCACTGACCATCTAATGAGTACATGTTTTGATTAAATTGATTACCGGTACTTTTTATTCTTGTCCTTATAGCTTCGCATCTATAATATATAGTAATAAGCATATAGTTATATTATTTGTAATTTATTTGAAGACGTTTTAAACACAAGCAATGTTAAAGCAATGTTAAGTACCTGCAAGTATTGTAATCAAATCCAAATCCTGAAGTACATTCTTGTACTACACGACACTGACATAAGCAATTTGCTGGATTCCATAACTTTAATTCGTGTTCTTCATTACATTTTTCACGATCATCTTCATTGTTACATATGCAACGGCATTCATCACGATAATACGTTTGCAATGGACTACAATCCTTTGGTAAGAAATATACTATTATAGACAATTAGATATAAAAAAAATTTATTGATTGTACCTCTGGTTTAACAATGCAATCACACTTGCATTTCTGATGTTGAACTACTGACACAGCTTTTCTGCCTATGAACTCCAATTTTCCAGCACCATTGTACTGTGAAACCATTACCTTAAAATATTATTAGCATGACAACAAATTTATACGTGTTATACTACGAAACTATAAGATTTAACATGTTGTCTATTACACATACTTCGAAGTTTAGGGATTCGCTTTTGGTTGGCTGACATGCTAATAAGTCGTGGGCACAGCAACCACCGCATCGATTAACTCTAGTGCACGGGGGATAATAATATAGACTTGAATCATCAGTATCTTTTAAGCTAATTGTTTGGACTTCGACTGAACAACCTGCTGGTTTTGGTATCAACGGTGCTCCTGAATATAAAAACAATATATAAATGTATAAGTATTGTATCTTTTATCAATTGATTGTCTTATTTACTTCTTTCTGTAAAAGCGTGAAGCGATGATGCACGATCTGAAACAAAGAGAATTTTTGATTTTTACAAAATGTTTATAATGTTATTCGAATAATAAATTGATTGGTCTCATAACGACGATTTACTTTTTTATTATGTTTCTTATCATGCTTAATATATTAATAAACTTCATAAAATTTAAAAATTATTGTTCATGACATTAAATATTTTATTTTTAAATTAAACAATTCTATCTTAGTTTTAATGATTTTATTAATTTACTGTTAAATGCATGTAGTTAAACTCATTAGCCATTACTGATGACGATTATAGTTTGATGACACTTTAGTTAAGACAGTTTGATAAGTTATTTTAAACTGCCAAGCAATTTTAAGATATTTAAATTGTATAACAATAATTGTTAACAACAATTATTGTTTTGTTTAATATTTAGAATTAATGTTAAGAGAAAAATTATTTGATTATTTATTTTATCGATATTAGTAGCTCAAGTAATACATTAAACTGGTTTATTGACTTACTGCTTTGAAAGCCTGTTGTGGCAATGCGATATTGTGCTTCGTGCATGTTTACGTCCGGCATAAATTTATTGAACAGTTCTGTAATATTTTTTACTTGATTCAGTTCAATTATTAAGTTCAATGGTACCTTAAACATATTATAAAAACATGATTATTATACAAACAAGTTTATTATTAATTAAGAATATAAATATATTATGCAATAATGTATTGATATTCGTATTAACTGAAAGCTCCAAATTTTCTATTTATAACACATTCAATTAAAAAAGTTGTTTATTAAAAAAATAAAATTTACTTGCTATTTAACATTTGTCATAAGTATCACAACTGTGAATTTATATCATATCAGTTAAAAAATTATAAAGCCAAATTCATATATATATATATATATATTAAGAATAAATATTATAAATTGAATTACAGTTATAATAGATAATATTATTTAAATTTTAATAGATGTTTTGATCTTTAGCAATAATTTCTTTTTCTCCCATTAGTTTCGAATTTGTTTTAGTTCCTTTCCCCTAAATCATTCATCCTAATGAAGTCCTTTGCGATATTTATCTCATTCTTTTAATTTCTCTTTTTTTCGCCTTCAGTTATATTTTTCCCGATGTCTTTCTCATCTTCAAGTCTCGTTCTACTTTTATAATTTCCTTAATCATGATTTTTTATCTTTAATTCCTTATCAAATCTATATTTTCTATAATTTATCCAAATGTCAAATATATAACAGCTTAACTATAATATTTTAATGCAAAAAACAAGTTTGATAAAAAAGTTTAAAAAAAAAATTGTTTTAATACCAAATTGATAAATTGTTTAGCAAATTATTATTTTAACCAGAACTGTATGTACAAAATAAGTTATTTTTAGTAAAGTAATTGAAAACATTTTAAATGAACGAAATATCCATTAGAATTTTGATTTAAAATATTATATGAAAAAGCATTTTAGAATTATTTATATAAAATTAACATTTCATTGCATATACAACTATCACAAATTTACATTTAACAAATCAAAATATTTTAAAATACCTAAATTGACTATACTTAAAATTTAAAAGCTTTCCTTTCAAACTTCTAAAATTAATAATTTTTCAATCATTTTTTATTGTATTTCATTATTATTTAATAAAGCGAATTTACACGTGTAAACAACATAAATACATGATCACGGTATACAATGTAATAAGTGGTATGTTACAAAATTTAATGTATCTTACTAATGCTTCGTTACATTGAGCAAATTTACTCTCTTCTTGTCAGCGAATTAAGGCGCGTGCGAGTCAGCGTATACAGACTTGTCCGATTACACTCCAGCTAGTAAATACGCTCTTTCGCAGATGTCACAACCACATATTACAGCGTAATAACAATTATTAATACTATTAAATTATAATTTAGTATTTTTTTTTTAATTTTTAAAATGTTAAAGTATTTTATTTAAGTTTAAATTATGAAATGAAATAGTCAAAATATCAGTAAATACGGTGTTGTACAAAAAAAAAAAAAAAAAATACCGTACTTTAACTTCTCTAAATATATTTATAAAATAAGTATTTAATTTAATTTGTAATAACAAATGTTATAAAATATATTTTTTACCTACAATCTATATTTTATTTATTATTTTAGAAAAAATTGAATCAGCTGATAGTTTCATTAAAATAAAAATGTTGAATATAATTGTACTTAAAAAATGTTTATACATGTACAACACGTCAAAACCTGCTCAGTGTAATAACACAAACATTATATTTATTTGGCATACTGTAATTCCTCAAGGTCAGATGTATAAAATATTAAAATAGGTATCTCACATAAATACGCATTGTAAATTAATAGTAATAGTACTACATACAGTAGTATACATCTTATTATGAGTCACAAAGACATGAAAGTAAAAAATAGCGTGAAAACTATTACATTTATTATGTACCTATTATTAGTATTTTTTTACGTTTGATTTGTGTATACAAAACACTTATTAATGTTCATTTACTTATACGGATCATATAATTGCATAAAGTATTGTTATAAAATCAGTGAAGTGAGGGATAGGAAACTAACAATGTATGACCTCAAAAATCCTCTTCCTGCAAAAATAATGCAGCAAGGGCAATATGATTATTTAAGTTTTTACTCGTCGTACTATTTCATTTCTACAGTATGATATACTCCCCCTTTAATGTATGTTACTAATACCGGTTATTACCATGAGAAACTATGACGGTAAATAATAAATTTAGCAATATAAAACTGAATTATTAGATCTATTTAAAATATTTAAGTGTGTTTTATAATGTTAACTGTATACATTTTTATTTAACTTATAAAAATATTAAGAGTACATACATATAAGAGTCCATTCTATATAATGATCATAAATGTTTGACTTATATTAAATAACAATTAAGAAATATTGTCGAACCTCTATTGAGCCAACTTCTATTTAGCAAAACTCTTAACAAATATCGTATAAAATCATGCACATTATATTAAAAAACTTTAGTTTCGGAGCTTTCAAAAGTATGGTAAAATAAATTTACAGAAAAACCATTAGCTGCTTTATACACAATTCGTCATGGATTATAATATAAGTACAATATTATTATTATTATTATTATACACATTATTATTTTACGTTGTTATTATGCATTTAACATACGATTAGACATTCGCATATAAATATTTCATACGAATCAAATGTGTTTTAAGAAGAAAACATTTTATAAGAAAATTTATATTTAACGAGTTTTTTCCAAAAAATCGTTAAATATGTTAAACAGTGGTTCGACTATATTTTAATAAAGAAATTGAAGAAAAATATATTGTTCTTATTTCAAATTCTCAAAATTTGAGTGTTTTAAGTACTCAACATTTAAGCCGTTTGTAGATATTTAATAGTATTTATTTTATCTATTTCATGTTTTTCATTTTTAAAGTAAAACAGATTATATCATTCATTATTTGATGTTGCATTTAAACTAGTTAAATATTTAATTAACATTTTAATAAAGGCATATAGTATGAAATACAGTTACACTCTTAGTTTATCTACCTTATGGGTATTCTCATAAAAATAATTTTTTGTCTAATTCTTCGGTCATTTGTTAGGCATTATTTATATTGTCATTGTGGGTTATTGTGATTTATGAATACATTACCATATTATATTTTTTATTTAATCAATGCATTCATGTAATATAATTTATATATTTTATGTACTAATATATAGGACATTTATATACTCAACTAGTTACAGAAAATGTTTTAATACATAAGTATTTACTCGCTGTTGAGTCAAAATAGTGCAAAAACGATTGAAATTATTTATAAAAATATAAAAATACTGAAAGTCTATCGATCGATAGTAATATAAATAGGTTATAATAGCTGTGATAACGAAAATCTAATGTACAGTATTTTTGGTCACATCTAGTAAATTGTAAATCGAAAGTGTGTTGTATTATGTAATGTGGTTGGTTCATTATAATGTGGGTCTTTTGTTTCATTTCTACCGAAAATGGTAGTTTCCTCCAAAGTTTAACAAGCTTTAATTTTTGATTCATCTTATTTTTACTTGATATAAATTATTATTTAAATCTTTAAAAAGCTACTGCACATTATTTAGAAATCATTATAAAGAGAAGAGCCTCTCATTATGTGAATAGACAAAAATTTTATAATATTTATAATTAATCAACATTATAAAGAGA